TTTCCATTTACTGACTGAGCAGAGGTAAATTCTCGTAGATTAATCGTCGATAGAAGTAAATAATACTTTCGTGAGATTCCTGACTGTTTTTGAAGGAAAATTGTCGTGGCGGTCTTGGAACTTGAGTATTTTTTTCCTTTCAAAAGTGCACTTGCGCTTTTTCTTCGTATGCTCTCTTCTATTGATAAGGATCAGATCGTGACAGATACTTGTAAAAAAAAAAAGGTTTCAAAGTTTGTTTGGAAACCTTTTAAATCACTTTTATCTTAACGCAAATAAAAATGTTTCGGTGAAGCCCGTCTCTACTATTTTGAATACTCCAGTCTGTTATCACTGACATCAACTCTGGACAGAAGACATGTTATTTGGCACGTTTATCGATTATCCTATGATTTCCAGAACATTCTTGATTAGTCCTTTAGGAAGGTTCTAGTGGTTTCGACATGAGTACGTGCGTCTATTTATAGAAACTTGAGTTGTTTACCGTAAATTCTGGAAAATTCTATGATGCAATGTTACTAAAAATAGTCGTGTTGTAAATCTGTAGAATCTACAAGAAAGATTGTAAGGAACTATATAAGAAGGTGCAGTAGGTTGTTGCGTTGAGACGAAAAAGAGGAAAGAGAAGAAAAGAAGAGAAAAAGATAAAGGAAATAAAGGAGTTAGTGAAAACAACTCATTTTAAGGTTTATCGCGAAACCAAACTCGTTTGAAAGTCGTTCAGATTATGGAGGATCCTGCTGGCCTAAATCATTCGGATTCTTTTGGCCAGCATTTCGTTAAATTTCTAGAAAAAATCAAAATGTTATTCACCAGCCTAAGTCGTTCCGTATTGAGAAAAATTGTGCCCTCTTTCTGTGCTCTCTGTCTGTGCCCTTCCGCATGGTGAATCATCACACATCTATCATCTTAAATCCCACTCTCCTGCTCAAAACTAAATGGTAAGCTTGGAGTTGTGTTGAAAAAAGATTGAATTGTAGAATGAAAGATTGTTAATATCGTTGTTGCCAGTGTGTTTTTTTCGCTTTTGCCAAACAAACAAGAAATACGCAAGGTATCTAAAGTCACACCAGGGAACTGGAAGGAACAAAATAGCTGGATAAAATCAAACTTTTCACTTCCTCCATTGTCTTCTTTTGCGATAATCACGTGAAATGTGACAACGATGTTAAAATCTAAGCATGANAACGACTTAGAGTTAAAATAGATTTAATCTTTGGCTTAGTCAATGAAGGATTTAATATAAAGCAAAAAGATTTCCCTCTAATAAGAATCAAGAATGATTTGTTTATTTTGAGAATCGAGAAAGAGAGCCAGCTGTGTTTGTAGTACAATAAACTCAAGAGGGTCGCTTAAAATTTTTCTTTGTTTTGACTGTCTAGCCCTTATACGGCTTTCTGCGACTTCGTCGCAGACATTGTCCAAAAGTTACAATCAACCACACAAGCGAGTAAGTCAGTATGTTTTAGAAGCGCAGAGGCGTATTGATAGTTAAGCTTAAAACAGTAGGATAAAGTATTTGAATACACTTTGCGTTTGAAAGTCTCCAGTTTTTCTTTTTCCTTCTTTTAATTCCTATGGCAGACTTCTATAAATTTTCTTGTACTTATTTGGCAACAGCAGTTGATTCTTGGTGTTTTCGTTGAAAATTTTGCGCGAGGAATTTTGCGCGGCTGGCCAGATTGATCCACTCGCACACGCCCAACGTTTGACCGCTGGTTTCAATTGTTGTGCAGTTGTTCTTTACAGTCAGAATGCTCGGCACCTACCGCCCCAGCTGCGTCTAATCTTAGTCACCACCAGGCCGCACACTTACGGCTGCAGTTACAAAGAAGAAGAATTGCAATGTGACATTCGACATCCCTTCTCACCCCAAATAAGTCGATGGCTACGTCTAGAACAAACTAAACATCTACTAGCTCATCCCCATTGTTGACTATGCCTTTGTCGGCTTTATTTTCCCACAGAGATTAAGCCAGCATCCCCACACCAGATTCTTTCGTCCTTTCAAATTCTTCAACTTCTACTTTGTTCACCTCTGATGATTTTAACATTCGACTCCCCTCGTAATATAGTGCCTTATTACCATGGTCTCAGTTCTTTGACTGATATCCTTTCGCCGGCTCTCCAGTATCGCAGGGCAGCTGCACATATTCAATAAGGTCGAGCAGGACGTCGTCTGCTAAAGCAGAGGGTTTCCTGTTCCCTTCGGAGTTTTCATGATCTTTATGGGCCACAGACCTATCCCGCAATAATGCTTGTAACGCTAAAACCAAAACGGCTAAAATATTCAATCTTATGTCAAATCAAAGCAAGTATTAGCGTACTACTTTCGATGTAGATCTCAAAGAAAACTTCCGGAGATATTTCACAGGCTCGTGAAATGTTTTTCGCACCTATTACTATTTTTATCATCACCAATCAATTGTTGCTTTATGAACTCGAGAATCTCTTCAAAGTCAGTTTAACCAGTCGATACAACGTTAATGGGCAAATCTTTTGTGTTACTGCCAGCTAATTTGAAAGGGAAAAGTTCTGCTTTTTACGCGCATGTCACTCTCATAGAGCCGATTCAGTAGAGGAAAAGTCCGTTTCAGAGTCAGGTTATGCTATTTTATCTAATGTTTGATCGTTAAGGAGGTCAGCGCGTCGAGCAAACCATGTTTCCCTTTTTTTCTTTAAATCAATTTGTAGACCATTAAAAAACGGCCCACACGATTAGTTTTACTCACATCTCAGAGAAAGCAAAAGCCCAAATTTTTGCGTGAATTTTTGGGGATCGGTACATCATTAACAACCTTTCACATAGATAACCATTTTGAATGTGCTGTTCAGCAGCTTCTTTTCATTTACACCTGTCAAATGTAAGTCACGGAGTACGTAATTTGATGCAGATCCACGCAGTTCTTTTTTTGTTTGTTGGATTTGTTGCCTGCATTTCAAGATCAAGAGAACACAATTGTTCCCAATTATCTTCTCTTAGGAAGAAAACTCATCTCGTCGCTCTTCATCTAACCACGAAAATATTCGACAGTTTGAAAACAATAGCTTTCTGGAGAGCTTTCATAAGTTCCGAATTGGGAAACAAAATGTGCATGCTAACAAGGTCTGGTCTAAATCAATCAATCAATCAATCAAAGTTTATTGTCTAACGTGAGGCATGGTTGCCCAATTGCCCGAGCCAGAGGCTCATGTATAAAACGGTAGACTATAAATTAACTATAATTAAAGGTATATTATTAGAAGTACTTAAAACTTTATAGGTAAAAATATATAAGTTTAGAGTACGAGTGATAATTGTAAAATTGTAGGTGATTAATATTGATAGTTAAAAGAGTCTAAACATTATGTTCGGTGAAAGATATTGCAGTAGATGAATATGAATAAGAATGACAATGTATGTGTACGTACAATAAAAGTCAACTACATGTATTACATTTACAGATTGGTCCTAGAGTGCTAAAATCGAAATTCTTAAGTTTACTACAAAAATCGCTAAGCGTAGATGCTGTTTTAATTTCTCTAGGTAAACTGTTCCAAAGGTGACTAGCTTTATATGTAAAGGAATTATGATACGATCTATTATTATACCCTGGTTGCACTAGATTTACACCTTTATTCCTTAAACTATATCTAGATTCCCGCAATTGAAAAAAGTTTTTAATATATTCCGGACCGTTCCATTTCATACATTTAAAAAGTAAAACCAAGGAAATATAAAATCGCCTATGTTCTAGAGTTTTCATGTTGCTTTTAGCTAAGATTGTATTGTAGTCAACATTATTGCCGAGATTAAGCAAAGTTTTGAGTGCGTACTTATTGACTGACTCAAGTTTAGAGCTCAGTGTTTTATTTATTCCAAGCAATAGCGGACTACAGTACTCCAGGTGAGGAAGTATGTAAGCCTT